AGCATTTCACTTTCTTTTTCCTAAAGCAAACAACACTAACCTGGTCCAGACCACTTTCCTGTTAGGCCCAGATATGCCTCAAAATCCCTGGCAGAACAGAGCTCCAGGCAGCACCTCCCAATCAATCACGTGGATGAGCAAGTGCTTCTTCCTGTCCTTGTCTGGGGTCTTTCCCCGTGTGAGGACAGACTGGGGGCTGGCAACTCACAGCTGCAGATTGCTAAGTTCCTGTTCTAGGAGTCTGCAGGGAGCAGCGTTCCTGGCGGCCACCAGGACCTGAGACCAAGTGGGCGTCCCTCTTCTTGTGTTACCTAAGGAGATCAGATGCGCCTTCCCACTCCTTAATCTTTGATGCACCGTTGATTTCCAGTACATCTCCTTTTAATTTCACATTCAGTGATTTTTCTTGTTACACCCTTTTTGTCAGGTCCATATTTCTATGCTTTTTACCTCCATTGACAAAACTGAAAATGAAGTATGTTGGTGGATTTAATCCTCATTAACAGAAACAATCATTTAAAAATCCATAATCACAAATTCTAAAAATCTGTTTCTAGTGTGTTCTCTGCGTGTCACTGCTTTCTTCTGGCTTCCTTCTTGGTTGGTATGTGTCTTTCTCTATAGCTGTGCACCCATGTCTTCCTGATTGTTTCTTCCTTCTCTGTTCCTTCTACAAGTAAGTCCTGAACTGCTCCCATGGACTAAGCCCCGTGCGAGGCACTGGGACCCGTGCTGGCCTTGCAGAACCCACAGGCTGGTGGAGGAGCTCTGTGGCCAATGAGCACAGGTTCAAAATTGTGCTGAGGTCCTCTGTGTCCCAGGAATCCTGAGGAGGGTGTGATTCTTTCTGCTTGGATGAAAGGAGGGGACAGCAAGAGGGTTCCAACAGGGACTTCATAGAATAAGTGGCATCTGAGCTGGAATTTAATTTAGTAGGACTTCAGCAGGAAATCACAGGAGGGTGTAGAGTAAAGCAATTTCCAGAGGAAGTGGTAGGAGGTACGAGAGTCTGAGACATGACGAATGGCCCACTGTGAGTGAGCAAAGGGAGAGATGGCCCATGACAGGCTGGCCAGGCCTCATCTGCCCTGATATACCCTAAAGCCTTATTCTTCTAATGTTGGCAACCCCTTGGAGGTGTTCACGATTATGAAAATATATTATAAAGCTTTGAAAATATTGCAAAATAGCAACTCATTTACATATTATATTACGCTTCACAAAGTATCTCCACATTTTTTTCATTCTCACAATAAGCTGATGAATAAGGCAGGTGTAAATGGTATCCAGTAATTCTAACCTCACACTGTTTTGAGGATTAAAGGAGATGGTAAACGTAATGTAGTGTGCTGAATGGTGGCCCCCAAACAAATGTCCATACCGTAACCCTCAGAATCTGTAAATCTGACCTTATTTGGAAAAGGGGTCTTTGCACATGCAATTAAGGATCTTCAGATGAGGAGATCATCCTGGGTTATCTTCGTGGACACTAAATATAATTACAAGTGTCCTTATAAGAGAGAGGCAGAGCAGGATTTGACAGACAGAAGAGAAGGTGATGTGACCGTGGAGACAGAGACTGGAGTGATGTGGCCACAGCTCAGGAACGCCGACAGCCACCGGAAGCTGGGAGAGGTAAGGAATTATTCTCCCCTGGAGCCTGCAGAGGGAGTACAGCCTTGCCTGCACCTTGATTATGCACTTCTGGCCTTCAGAGCTGTGAGAGAATGCATTTGTGTTGATTTAAGCCACCAGTCTCTGGCAACGTACAGCAGCCGTGGAAAACTGGTACCACATCTTAGAGCCCCATCTGCAGTCATTGTTCCAACAGCAGTTGGTCATCATGGTCATCATCAGCCTCACCCTATTTTGGAGCAGTGACACATCAAGCCCACCTTTTGGAGGGGAGACCCAAGTCAGGAGAAGAGTCGAACTCGCCCAGGGGAAGGAGAACCTTGGAGGTAGAATCAGTGAGACCTGGTGATCAATCGAGGTGTCGAGAAAGCTGCCTTCTCTTCTAATGTGAGCAGCTGGGACCCTCCTAACTGAGCTCTCAAAGTCTGGGAGATTTGAGGAGGACGAAGAGTGTAATTTTGTACATGTCGAGTTGGAGGACCTTCTGTGACATCCAAGTGAATTATCTGATAGACAGTTGGATATTTTGGTTTGAAAATTAGGAGGAAAGTCCAAATTAGCAATAAAGATGAGAGAGTATTGGCACCTTTATGCAGCACTTGAAGCCTGTGGCAGGACGCGGTCACTCATATAGAGCATGTGAACCAAGAAGAATAAATCTTGGGGGACTCCAACATTTTCCAGACAAGGACGGGGGAGAGGAGACAGTGAAAGAAACCAGACGGGTGGTTAGAAAGGGAAGAGGAGCATCCAGAGGAGGGGGTCGGGGGTCCTGGCCAGGATTCCCCCTCCTCCGTCTCTCTTGCTTGCCTTGCCGTCACACGGAAACTGAGTACATTTGATACTTTTTGCCCTGATGAAGTATTTTCATTTTTTATCCGTAATTTACAACGGAATGAGGGGAATGAAATTATACATTTCATTCATTCTCGGGGAGCACAATTGTAGGGAATTTGTAGTTGAACAATGCCTCACCTCTCTGTAGCCTCCACGGAGCTGCAATTACCCAGCTAGACGGCAGCAACGAGCTATTATTGACATGACGAAGGCCACCATGGAGCTGACTACGCCGTAATCGTGCTGCTAGTGTCACAGCTAGAGTGGCTCTCCCTCCACAGACACAATAAGCTGAGCTGGGAAACCTCCCGCATCTGCACAACTAGGATTAAAAGCACCCCCATCTGCTACACAGGAAATCTCTTTGAGAGCTTGGAAGCAGCAGCTGACCGCCTTGGCTCCCAGCCTCTGCTGTGGCACGTGCAGGGCGCCTGCCTCTGCAGAACCACCGGGCTGCTCTCCTGAGAACTTCGCCCACCCCTGGTCCTTCTTTGCCTTTAGCCTTTTCTCCCTGGAAAGGTTCCAGTCCTTCCTTTTTCCTGTCCCCTTCTAGTGTTTAAAGCACCTGTGCGTTTTAGGGAGGCAGAGAGTATGTGAAGGGTTGGAAACGGTCAAAGTCATGAACTCACCCTGTCATTCCCCCGACTCCTTGTATCTCCCTCCTTTGAGCTCATCCCTAAGAGGGAGGCGACACCCTTAAAGACCGAAGCGCCCTTTGCTCAGCGTACCCCTTCCCCAGGAAAGACCCCAGCCCCGCCCCGCAGACGGGCGGAGTCCGCAGTCTTACTTGGCTGGAGCTTGTCGCGGTCGCGGTCGTGTAGAGAGGGGCCCGGAGCCTTGGGCTCAGGCTCTGCCATTCTGCCGCAGAGGCAGTCGCGGGCCCGGCTCCAGCGGGCTGCACGCGGCAGCTTTGTGACGCGTCGCCATGGAGACGCGGTCTGTTCTCAGAGGCTCAGGCCGGGGCCAGCGTGTGCGGGCGGCGCGGGGACCTAACCAGGCCGGCGCGGGGCTGGGTGCGGAAAGCCACAGCACATCACGTGGCCACCTTACTTTCACGTGTGTGTAGTTCTTGCAAAGAGCTTTCCCGACCACTGTGCATTTAAAAAGGCCAGGAGATAGAAGAGAAAGCAGTAGTGTCAGATTTTCAGCTGCAAATTTTCATCCACTCCTAACTTTCAGCTTGAGCAAATGTGGGCAAAGTTGTCGTGGATCTTTGTAGTAAATAAGAATCAAGCCAGAGGACAAAATCCCAAGTAATCTTGTGCGAGTAACCAGAAGCAGAGTTTCTGTGATAGTTTCATCCTATCACACGGCCGTTCCTGCTGAGGGATTGGAGGGTCAGAGGGTGGGAAGTGTGCTTGAAAACAGGAGAGAGCAGGGACATTTGTGACACCCTTCTCCACACCAGGCTGTGTTCCTGGCCCCAACCATAGTTTTTTTCTGATTGTCAGCTTAATTGTTCATCCCCATAGAGTAAGCAGGGTCTTTTACCACCATGTAAGAGTTTTCAGGGATGAGGAGGGTCTTTTATCTTCCTATCTTGCCAACTACCTGCTAATTTGACTCATAGGAGGTGCTTAGTAACTGTTGAATGCCTCCAGGTTAGAACATAGCTGTTACCCACTTGGGTGGAAAAAAAAAAAACAACAACAAGAAATACACATTGGAGACTGCTGGCAACACGCTTAGAAAGCAATTTACAATAGTTCCTTATCCTTAAAGGGGTTATTCTAATACAGGACCTTAGGTGCACAGTGAAGTCTAGCAAAGGAGGAGTTTATTAAAGTAAGAATCCCAAATGTATATGCAAAGGATTTCTTGAAAATGAAGAGTTATGCTAGAATTTTCTGAGGGCAGAGTCCTATCCCTACAATAGAATGAATATAACACATTTTAGACTCTCACATTTCAGACTCTCAAATGAATGGTGGAACACACTGAAGGCATAAATGTTATTAAAAGAAATGAGTCTAAGTTAGGATTTAGTAGTGGCGTCTAAATTAAGAAGGTAGCACCCAATAACATTACTCTCTGGAAATGATAGTGCTAATTAGCACAGCATAATTTAAGAGAAATGTATTCTTAAAATAGAGCACAAGTGTATAGATTTTAAAAGTTAATTCTTACCAATATCTTACATTTGTCTCCTCGTAGGCAAGCTGCAGGGTGTACACTCACTGATCCAGAGCCAGAGTATCTCTTCGTCACTTTCCACGTGGGGACCCTCAGGGTCGAGCAGATACTTCTCTGAGGCCTCCCCCCCATCCCGCCCAGTATCCTTGTCTGTTACATGAGTGTATGCTCACCTCACTGGGCTGTAAAGATTAATAATTATAGCAATAATTTATAAGTTGTAGAGCCACACAGATCTAAGCTATTGCTCTTTTGTCTTATTACTATTCTGATCTTGGTTCTTTTTATAGTCTTTCACTCCTGCTTCAAAATGTATTTGTGGTGTGGGTTTATTTTATTATGAGCAGGAAGCACTATCCCTGCCTTTGAATTTTGGTTGTCTGAGGCAACCTTCTTAAATGATTATGTAGAGTTTTGGGTTTTTTTCATTTTTTTCCTAGTTTTTTCCCTCAACAAGCACTGGCTGTGCGTGGAGTACGAGCTGTATGAGGACATTAAGGGCAATGCCCTATTATGGGAGCTTGGGGACAACTTCTTGGAAGAGCTGAGCTGAGTGCTCCAGGCTATATGGAATGACCCAGGTGAAGAGAGAGAGGTGACAGCAGGCAGGCAGAGCAAGGGCCCAGGCAGCATGGAACAGTCATGGTGTCCTGCACCCCGAGGAGCTCGGTATTGAAAAGGGTGTGTGGGAAACAGAGCCAGCAGCAGTGACAGGCCCTGCGAGCCATGCTGAGAAGCGTGACCTTCACCCGGGCAGCAGGCAGACTCACCGAGTGGGTCAAATAAAGAAGTGAAGGGACCAGATCAGAAGTTTAAGTACATCCTGGCCCCTTTTTCCAGAAGGGAGAGGAAAAGCAATGCTGCCAGGATAAGCTAATCACTGAGAAATGGAAACATCTAGGTCACTAATACGCCTTTTACAGAGGCTTGAGTTGATCCCAAACAATTAAGAATAGCTGTGTTGAATGGGTTGTTTCAATTAAAATGATCACAATAGATAACTTTCTGCACTCACACACACACACAGAGGGAACGTGATGTGAAGTAGTGAAGATGGGGACAGATGTCAAGGGCGAGGGGACAGCAAGGATAGGACACTCTAATTGTGGCTGTCACAGAGAAGAAAGCCTGTAGCTAGGGGAGAGGGAGTTGGTCAGGTATAGAGAGTTATTACTTAAAAGGGGAGAGAAGTAACCAAGTTCATAGGCCAAGGGTAAGGAGCTGGGAGAGACAGCAGGAAGCTATAGGAGAGAGGGGCCCAGGCCTGGAGAAGACGGCGTGCCGGAGAGCTGCTTCTCAGCCTGAGTGTGCACACCCCCGCCTGGGCATCTGTGGAACACAGGTTCAGATTAAGTCAGGTGGGACCTGAGATTTTGCCTTTCTAACAAGATCCCTAGGTAATTCATCAGGTTTGAGATAGACAGCTCTAGAGCCTTGCTTGTGGTCTGAGGACCAGGAGCCTTAGCATCGCCCAGGAGCTTGTTAGAATGGAAATCATCATGCCAAAGGGATAGCTGTACTCCCATGTTCATCGCAGCACTCTTTACAATAGCCAAGAGTTGGAAGCAGCCCAAATGTCCATCATCAGATGAGTGGATATGGAAAATGTGGTATATCTACACAGTGGAATTCTACTTGCTATAAAAAAGAATGAAATACTGCCATTCACAACAATATGGATGGACTTAGAAAAAATTATATCAAGTGAAATAAGTCAGGCACAGAAAGAGAAATACCACGTTCTCACTTATTTGTGGGAGATAAAAATAAATGAATAAATACACAAACAAATGGGGGGAGTGAGGGGAAGAAGACACAATAATCACAATTCCTTGAACTTGTTAAGATGAGTGAACAGATATGATGTTGATGCGTGGGAGTGGGGAGAGTTGGGGGAGGGAGGAATCGGTAAAGAGACATGAAAATCAACTACGTTGTATATTGATAAAACAAAAAAGAAAAAAGAAAAAAGAAATGCAGACGCTCAGGCCCTGCCCAGACCTACTGAATCAGGATCTGCACCCTAACAAAATCTCTTGTATATTGATAAAACAAAAAAGAAAAAAGAAAAAAGAAATGCAGACGCTCAGGCCCTGCCTAGACCTACTGAATCAGAAGATTCCTAGGCACATTCAAGTTTGAAAGCACTGCTCCAGTTAATGCAAGAGGCAAGGTCATCTCCTGCAGGACAGGGAGAATGGGAAAGAGCTGATGGGAGAATTTAAAGAGCAAGCCAATGAAGAATGTGTAAAAGAATTGACAGGTGGCTGCCTCCAAAAGCCCAGAAGAGGCCAAAGACAATCCCTCTTCAGTGATGTCTGGCTGCTTTGGATACGAAGATACTGAGTCAAGCTTCTCTGCTTTGGTTCTTATATTCAGGCAAAAACCTTTCTATTACTGTGTAGTATGCAATACTTTCATTCAAGTGTCCTTATGTAAAAGAAAAACAGAATATTGACTTTTCTCCTTTACTTTATTTTTTGTTTGTTTAGCTGATTGATGAACTCATAAAACATTTTCTCAATTTCTGTGATGAACTCTGTATAAGTCAGGATCCTCCAGAAAAACAGAACCAAAAGGATGTGTATATACAGAGAGATATTTATTTTAAGGAATTGGCTCACACAACTAGGCTGGCAAGTCCAAAATCTGCAGGGTATGCCAGCAGGCTGGAGACCAGGGAAGAGCCAGCATTGCAGTTCAAGTCCAAAGGCCATCTGCTGTCCTAATTCCCTCCCACTGGGGGAGGCTGGTCTTTTGTTCTATTCAAGCCCTCAACTGATTGGATGAGGCCCATCCATGTCAGAGAGGGCAATCCGCTTTACTCAAAGTCCACCAATGTAAACGTCAATCTCACCCTCACAGAAAAATCCAGAATAACGTTTAACCAAATATCTGGGCGCCATGGCCCAGCCAAGGTGACACACAAAGTTAGCCATCACAGACTCAGATCTTCCTGAGGCCGCCTAGGTCATAGCTGCCACTAAGAGCAGTTGTGGGTAAGCAGTCCAAGAATAATGGCTCTCCTCTTATTGAACAATCCAGAAAACAAAATTCTTGAATATTTTCTATTTTATTAGGACAGTCCAATTTAATGGGGTAAATTCCAAGCTCTGCTTCTGACTTGCTACTCAACAAATGAACTTACGTCCCATTCACATAAAACCATAATAGCAAATTCAGACTGTTGATTCTCTCAAAACCTCGTCAACCTTCTTTAAGTGTGACCTTCCTCCTGGGCCATCCCTGCTTCCCCTGGTTCTTGAGTTTTTCTCTTCTCTGATCTCTAATGGAGTCAGCTGGCTGGGCCAGGCACTGGTTAATTACAAACGCCTTCCATTGTTAGTTCTCCTTTCAGGCCTGTGCAAGCAGCAAATATCAAGTGTGAACACTCGTTTTAAATCTTCTGTACCAGCACTTATCCAACCCAGGGAACGTTCTCTTCTTCAAAGTAATAATTTATTCTAATGATGATGCTATTGCTTAAAGCATTTTTGAAATTTTTTAGAAACTCCCTTCAGAAACTGACTCACGCATTCTTTTGAATTTCTTCAATAGGAGCATAACTTTGCTCTTAGAGGATAGATTGGATATTTGGAACAGTAAAAAGACATTTAAGCTCATAATTAAGGTAGGCGATCAAGTTGTACAATGTCATCTTTTAGCCAAAGATGAAACTACGGCCATCAGGTGATGAGTAGAAACACCCTCATTCTGTAAATAATTTTTGGATTTGCATCCTCTTTAAAATAAGAGCTTCCAAGGTCACTGAGAGCATAGATAAATCAATACTTGGATAAATCAATCATTATATATTTGTTTTAAAACTAAATTTTACAGTTATACTTTATTATCTCCAAATAAACTGGTGATAAAAAAATTAATTTTATCTCTAAATAAATCTCAACTGGATCATAAGCATCCTAGACCTTTCCCTTTTTGAACTTCTCTAATAGCACTTATTTTACTGTTCATGTTAGCTTGTATGTCTGTCTCCTTTCACAAGCCTGGAAAACTCCTTGAAAGTGAGGGTCATGCTGGAGGCACCATTACGTGCTAGCGTCCCCTCAGCGCACAGCATATGCGCTGAATGAATGAATGAATAAATGTAGGCATGCAGCATATGCGATGAATGAATGAATGAATTGAATAAATGGATGAATTGCCTAGGTCATTTTTGTCCGACAGATTTCTGTTGATCTTAAACTGCTAAAATATCTGCATTAGGTTACATTTACACACAGATTGAGGCCTCTTTCAACCAGGAAGATCTGTCTCTAGACTTGTCAGTTTTCAAGATTGACAAACACCAATTCTTTGTCATATTTGCTAATAAAATATACTAGCACAGTGTTTATTTCCTTATAGGCAGTCGATAACTTTGCTGAGTGAATATTGAATGGGTGAATACATTTGGCTCATAGTCAGCTGAAAAAACAGTTTTTAATAATGAAAGAAGACTTCTAGATCTTTTGTCCATTCCTGGGGTGATCATTGATGTTTTTTCTCAATTCAGCTACTTAAAAAAAAATCTTCTATGTCAATTTTGTGAATAGCATTTCTATTTAATTTAGGAAGCATTTAATATTTGATATCCACCTAAGGTTTGTTTGTGCTAGTATAAAACATATTTTATTGTTAATATTCCTCATTTTTTACTGAGTTTAATAACAAATGTTTATCTTCATTGTTATTAGGTAGCATTCTCCTTCTCTCTGAAAGATCAGTGTTAAATTTTGTTTCCCTCCTCCAAACACTTCATAGCCCTGTTCTTTAAAAGACTCTTTTTGAGAAAGTGGCTGTGAAAACCACAATTCTTATTGTAATTTAGTAAGTTACAAGGCAAATATACCACCAGCAAACCACAGTGGAAAGATCACACACACCCTTGGTCACAAACTTAATCATTTCTAGCTTGAATGCTAAGAAAAGTTATAATTGCGCCAATGTAGTACATAGCATTTAAATATAAATGGCAGGACCATCAATAGTGTTATCAAAATGTATAACACAGGAACACTTTTTGAAAAGGGATAGAAAAATTATACTTAGGATAAATCTTCCTCATTATAAGCATAGTAGAGATTCATTCATGCAGGTTTTTATATGTAGATAGGATGATTTTTTTCCTTTTGAAGAATCCATTGTAGCTATGAGATGAAAAACTATATTGATGTATGTATTACAGTAATGGTTTAGCTTTCTTCTATTTTGATTTTAGTGTTAGGATTGCTAAAAGCTTGTTTAAAATACCCAACTGACATAATGTGCTTTCAACAAGGACACTGCCATGTACATTATCCTTTCCCTGTCATTGTTTGGTACCACATCGCCTGGACTCGTTCTACATGAGCTGCTTTGTAAGGAGGGAGGCCAAGGAAGTTCATATTTCAGGCAGTGGGTGGCAGGGTTACCATCCTACCAACCTGGCCAATCCTCCCGTGATCCTTACCTTGAATGTTTCTTGTAAGTTTCATATAGGCAGGATAAAAAACATTCTCGCCTTCCAACGAAAGATGACATCAGCTTTTTGCCCAGCCAGGATTGCAAGAGAATGGCACTGTTAACCCCATGCTTGCTGGGCTTGGGTTTAGATAAGGATGGACCAAACTCTGATTTATGAAGCATGATAGATCAACACCCAAGTCAGACAACTCCCACAAAGGCCGTTGGGAGAACTCCCAGGGTGCCAGGGTACTGAGCAAAACGTTCAGGGTGGCAGGACTCTGTGGCTCCCCCTGCCACTTTGGAGAAGTGTTCAAAGTAGAGGATTTCTGCTCCCCCAGCCCCCCTGACCCTGCCATGCCACAGGGCCAAAGCCCCACCATCCTGGTAGCCATAACCTTTAAGGGTGTTAGCTGCACTGGGCCTGCCAGGGCATCACACCCATGAAAATGGAAGAAAGGAGCACTTGTGGAAGCCATGGAGGAGCTGGACGTCCCCTCGACCTGCAGTCCAGCACAGGCCTGGAGGGTGGAATGTTCAGTCCAGGCAGATAAATCAGTTGGGTATCTCTTCAGATTCCAGAACACTTGGAAATGGTAATTCTGCCAACAGAGGCTCTGTCAGAGATGATCTGGGTGACAGATTGCAGTTAAAAACGTCATCTATTGAACCTAAAAAAACAGTAAACAAGGCATGTATTATTAACATCACTGTGAACACAATCAAATAGCTCAACAGTGCCTTTAAAACTCATGCAACGTAAGTGTTTCAGTGATTAAGAGAGAATCCTGGCTTCCTCAGAAAAACTCAAAAGGCTGAACAGAAATGTGTTGCTTTTTGTCCATCAGTGGGGCATGACTGTCACTTGCTTCCCCGCAGGCTGGAGCAGGTTTGCAGTGAGCTGCACGTCCTCTTTCTCACTTAGTGGCAAAGGCCATATTTGGGGAATAGATGATGAGGACAGAGGCCAGGTTTTGAAGGGGATGGAGCTGGTTAGCAGCACTGGTGGCCTGAGCTCTGCCTGGGGCTGGGAGCCAGGCTCGGCCTGCCTGATGCGCAGCAGGTGTATCTGGGATATGCCACTGCAGTGCACTATGGTGGCTTCCAGGAATGATCCTGCCCCACTGCTCCAGAGAGGAAGCGGCCCCAGGGCTGGCTCAGAGTCAACTTTCAAGGAAGGACAGCCCAACTTCACATACTCTTCATTGTCTCTGAGATCACAACAGAGGGTGAGCCCTGGGGAGACAGGAAAACTCTGCCCAGCCTGTACAGCCAGGAGGTGAGATGAGGGCATGTCAGAGGAAGGACCTGGCACCGGTGACGGCTGCAGCAACAGGAGAGTTAATCTTCCCCCGCAAAAGGATCAGAGTATCATTCCCCACATGGCTGCAATGAAGCACAGCACAAAGACACCTTTGTGAGAAACTCTCAGACAGACAAAGCTAAAGCAACATGAGGAAAGAGAGTGAGGAAAGACAGAGACAGAGATGGAGAAAGAGACAGAAACAGAGAGGCAAAGCAGGGGGAAAGAGAGAAAGATGGAGAGATGGAGAGAGACAGAGGCAGAGAGGGAAGGAGGAGAGAGACCACTTGCAGAAGAAGAAATAGCTCAGAGTAAGCATTTTTGCTGTAAACAATGAAAAAAAAGCAACTGTCATCAGACACAATTAATAAAGACTCTGTGTTTTACATCCAAACTTTCCGAGCACTGCAGGTTCATGAAGACTGGTGGTTTCCTGCAATTAGTGGCAAGAGTCGTGGCTCTCCAGCCCAGACTAGCAGGAGACAGAGGGAACGGGCTCTGCAGAAGACACGTCAGACAAGACTTGACCGATGCCACCTGCTTCAGCCACGTGGGCATCAACACCAAGAGCCCCTTGTGTGTCGTGTATAATTTCTTAAATGGAACCTTCTCAAGAATTATTCTTTTGTTGTTTTACAAAATCTGGAGAACACTTCCAAACATGGGTAAAGATAGATATCACGACCATGTAGACTTCTCCCCTCCCTGACAAGTTGAGTTAACATTTTGTTGTCCAGAATATGCACATCAGGAAAGTAGCATTCCTTCATAGTATTTAACTTATTGCTTGATATTTAAATGAGCATTAGTATTCATTTAAGTTAATAATCATCTTTAAGATTATTTTCTGGGTATTCTGCACGATATGACTGCTATCTCAGAAAACTTAAACGAGTCTAAAAGGAAAAGTTACCATATTTCTTTTTGGCAATAAACATTACTTACTTCTTACTTTCTGAATTATGTGATATATTTCCTTTTATCAATAGGTATTGCCTTTTCAATTAATTGATCCTCCTCTCCCATTTTATTAGTGTACCCTCCCACATGTCCTTGAGAATTTCTAACATACCTCTGGAAGTGACACTGAATTTTCGGTCAGAGAAACTGCTCCTTCGGATTAAAGGTTCACTCATTTTTTCCAGAAATAACTTAATTGTCTCCTTCTTTTCTGGACTTGTACTTGTCAAATTCAGAACTTTTCCATTCACTTTTACAGTGGAATTGCTGAGCCCAAACCAATAGAAGAAATCAAATAATGCATCAGCTTTGAATTCATATGCAAAGCTCAAATTTTCTCCATTAACAACCTCATTTCCTGGAGGGAAAAAATTCTTCACTACATCTTGAAAGTCAAACTGAAAGAGAAAGAAACATTTAATTGACTCAACAGACATAACTATCATGTTGACATTATAGAATTCGCAACTGCCCAAACATCCAAAACATTATGCCCCTTTTATTTCTCTTTTCACTCTGACCAATATCTTTTAACTTTATTTTCTTTTTAAACATACCTCTGCATTTGCATCATATTCCTTCTAAAGATTTTGAACTGCTTGGCCAAAGTTACATTTATTCTTACCCCACTTGTAATAAGTTATTAGAAACTAAGCTCACTTTATAGGCGGCAATACCGACTCAATAGAGAACAAAGTGTCTGGAATTAAGCGAAGGCTCTAAGACTCAGTTCTCGCATGAAATGCACAGGCTCGTCCTCTGTGGTGGCAGCCCTGGGTTCAGACAGGTGAAGGCTTACCTGAAGCCGGTAACTTTCTCCAATTACTGAAGAGATGACCGCATCCATCCCTTGCTCTATCTGTCTTCTTATCTTGGGGTGTCTTGTGTTCACAAGAAATGCATATGTTCTTTCTAGAAATTGGCAAGCAGAATTCACAAAGAAGTGTGTACCCGTGACATAGACATCCTTAGGATTTGCTAAAGCAGTGGTTCTCACCTTCTTTGGAGGTTGTATAACCTCCCTTGCCATTCTCAATCCTTTGCTGGAAAGCCTAACTAGGTTTCTACAAATGTTCCCAAGAATGTTGCAGATTTGCAGGAAGCCCTGGGCTACTGTAAAAGCAGCCTAGAAAACCGGCTTCCCAGGGCTGCAGTTTGTCACTCGTGTCTCAGAAATCAAAAGTCCCACTCTACAATTATCACAGATGGGAACTGTGCTTGCACAGCACTTACAGCATAGGGAGTGAACAGGAAAACTGGAGACGGCTGGTTTTCATGTGCCTGCTGTGTAGGATATTTAAATCACAACTTGGTTCTCACCAACATTTCCTGATTTGCAAAGCAGAAAATCAGCAAAGTCCAGGGAAGGAGGCTGCCCCGTGCCTTTCCCTCACCTGTATGTCTCCACAGCCTGTCCAGAGACCTGGCATTCTTTCTGCCAAGTGGCAAGTCTAGGGTTCTAAGGATCGAGGTCATCTGAGGATGATTCTCCTCCCTGCTCCTGCTCCTAACACAATCCCAAGGGGAAAAATGTTTCTCCCATTTTTCATATAATACCATGTCTCTGTCCTGGGAGACAGTTGGGTTTTTCTGTTGTTTGTTTGTTTTGTATTTCGGTAATCTGTTAAGTCTGAGTCTGTCCAATTCTGCATAATCTAAACAAAGGGAAGGTTCTTTACTCATTAGGAAATTTGAAATATTATTAACCATCAACCTCTTAACTTTTCCAGACCCCGGAATCAAGCTCCATTGCCTTAATTACTTGAGCACTTTGTCTGGGGGGTCACAAAGATACCTAAGTCACTCTCTGCTTAAAGGCCATGGAACAGCCAATATGTAACTTTGAACATTTTGCATTGGCTTTGAGATATCTCAGAGCCAAACCCAATATTGGTCAACCAATAGCAAGTGTTTACATTCTTGAGGAATGAGTTTTGAATTAACTGTACTTATTTTTCCTACCCATATTTTCTGTTCTTACAAATTATTTTGGGGGCACTTTAGATACCTTACATCTTCTTTGAGACAAAATATAAATAAACAAAGCAATCAAGTTATTTGATGCCTCAAATTAAATTTTACACAAACCAAATCAAAACCCTTAGGCTTGCTTAATACTCAGGGCTACCATACTCCACAGTGGTGCTGGCTGGCAGGCTGAATGCTGCACAACTCTAGAGGATGCCATTTGTATTGTCAAATATTGTCTATTTCTGTATTTATTATGACAAGATTCTGGGAAGCATTAGGAATTGTCTCGAGGAAATGGTGGCTTTTCTAATTTGCACAAAAGTGCAGTTTAGAATGAACATGCTACGTTAATAACAACTTTTATAATTTAAACTTGACCATCTTAAGCTTCTATATCACAGACCCTTTAAAATAAGAAATGAATGGCTTTTCTCACAACCTGTACTAGGTTACTGTCCCTCCTTCTGCAATAGCTGTCATATAGCCGTGTACTTTCTGTAGGTCACCCACAATACCTCCTTGTGGCACTCACTCTCTGTACTTTCATCAAAATGTTAAAATGGAGCGGTCTCTTATTCTTTCTTTAGATTCCTCCTGAGAGTGCGATGCAGGAGGTGTACTTGATTCAGCTATGAATTACACTTCTAGAGAACTATCCGGCTTTCTGGTCATTATCAAGCCAAAGAACATGTAGGGCTCAGGTGCTCTAATGAGCAGTGCTTGTTACCGAACATACTGTTCCTGGCCTCTTCTGCAGAAAGCATCGTAACTTTGAATTACGAAATGAACAGAGAGAGCTCCGCAAATCTGAGCAAGAGTGAATGTTTGAGCAAGTCTATTTGAAATTTTAGATCATTTCTTATTACCCCGGACTCATTTTAAGAATGCTATTTAGAAGCAAGTGTAAGAAATTCCACCTCTATTACATAACACTATGCCCATGACTTTCCACACATACCACTCTGAGTGGGAAGAGGAAGGGGAAACGGAGACATTTTCATATTGAAACCTGAGTTTATATAGCTGTTACCAGTCAATCTGACTTCTTGGAAGAAACAATAAAGAGATGTGTCTAAATATGAAATTCTAACACCATAGCATAAAATATAAAAGCATCTGTAACTGCTATTTATTTTCTTTATCTTAGTTTTCTCATCTGTAAAGTGGGAATGGTATAAGCACCTCATAAGTAGGTTGCTCATGCATCCTACTTTGTGTGGATCAGTCCCAGTTTATACCTTTGTCCTAGAACAATTATGAACAGTGACAACTTTCATGCTCAGAAATGTCCCCATTTGGATGATAAGCCCCACACGGATGTCGTGCCAATTAATTGCATTAGTGCACGCCTTGGACACAGTAATGATACGTGGCAGAGCGTATCCAACTCCTGATGGCTCAGAATGTCAGATCACTTCCTGCATAGACAGGAAGTAGAAAAGAAGCTCAGAGACAGGTGGCTTCTGCCCTAGGATCATCTAGAGGTGTGCTCTGCAGGCTTGTGCTGAGCTTCAGACGGCCTTGCACACCAGGCTCCTTGCCATCAGCGTGCCTCAGTCTGCAGCCCAACAAGGCAGAACTCAACCAAAAATATTTATATATACCTACCTTTTGAGGTGTCTTTTTTGGTCTGTACGTAAATAAAGAACAGCATTGGTTTGTCCAATATAGTTTCCCTGTAGTCTCTGTAATCACAGTAGGTGGTCAGTTCCACATACCTATGAAAAAGCAGAGATAACTGCTAGTGTAACGTACCCTCCCATATAAATTAAAAGGTGGATGCACTGAACAGGTGCCTACCACAGCCACAGTCCTTTGAGGGAAGTCCCTTAAAACTGTGTCCTTACAGAGGTCATCATATTTTGTACTATATTAATAAACCTCCTTCCTCTGGTCATAGCTGATCAGCCTAGGGATCAGCGTGCAACCCAAAGGTGGCCATGGTCCTTGGGGTGGCCGGGAGTCCACACTTGGTTCTCAGGGGCAGCCTTTACCAGATGACCAGTCCCATCTATCATTTGGGCTATAAGAGCTCTTTTGAAGGTACAGGAGATCTAAGTCCCCCGGATCGAGAACAAGTTACACTCAGTAAGTGGAATTAGCTGGGTCTTCTTCAGCGGGGTCATCCTGTCTAACTGGTAAATCTGGAACTTTCCTTTCCTTCTCCTCCTCCCTTCCCCTCTCTAATCAAAGATAAACCCAGCCCCCTTCATAGATGACACAAACAATATTTTATGAACTATTACTAATTCACAGCTCCCTGATCCTGAGTTTTTGAAGTTAAAAAAAAAATAAAAATAAAAAAGCAGAACCGATGTTGGACTTTTGCCCATATCCCTATTAAGTTCAGCCTCCTTGGTTTTAGTTCATTATTCCAGCCTAGGAAGATCTTTCTGAATCTCGCTTCTGTCAGCCAGCGGGTCAGGTTTCTCTCCCAGCCCTACAAATCTTCCCAGCGGCCTTTCTGCACTGTTGATAAAAAGATCCAAGTGCAAATTAGCTAATCTTCAAGAAGATGGCTAACTTCCTAACTCATCCCAAGGTCTAATGCAGCGGGGGGTAGGCGGGCTGAGTGGCACCCAGCAGCCGACGGATGCTCCAGCCAGGGTCACCCTCAGCCCCAGTGCTGGCTCACACTGATGCAGCTGGGAGCACCTGCTTACAGTGCCGGCGACGGGGCAATGGGCCGGCTGAGCTGACAGCACGGCCGCCTCTGCTCGTTTCTTACATCCAGTCAGTTTCTTACATCCAGTCATGGGCAGAGACGCCCCCGAGCATTTCTCTCGGGCAGGTTGTCCTTCCAGTGCATGAGGTGAAAATCACAGCCGTGGAGAGCAAACGGCTCTGCAGGGAGCTGTGGCCGCACAGTCCTCCCGGTGTCCCTCCCCGTGCCCACGTCCCACCACCCGCTCCGAGGGGCCGGCGCTCAAGACAGTGACCCAGGCGTGGGTCAAGAGCATACGGGACAATACCCACCGGGAGACATAAAAACACAGTTTCCACTCGGCTGTCTCCCAGCCTGGTTTCTTAGAAATCTATGTCATTATCTTTCTGCTGGGATCGGCAGACCTGGTTTTGAGAGCTTTTAAAATCTGACCCCTGATGGAGCCTCTAAAAACGCTTCCTGCCTCCTGTTTCACCAGGCTTTTAAAGTCTTCTCCACATCCCAACCCCCCTGCACTGGTGGTGATGGTTTAGGGGCTGGTCCTGGGCTGGGAGGGGACATAGGGAGCGTTGCAGAGAAGGACAGAGGGTGCAGGTGTAGATGCTCAGGGCGTGGGTGAGCTGGGCAGGAGTAGGAGAGGGGACGGTGGGAGGGAGAAGGGAAGGGGGGCCTGGGGTGGAAAAGGGACTGCCCTGGGTAAGAGAACTTAGACGGGCAGATGGGACATTTGGTGGGGTTCGTCCAGCCCCTCCCCGGCCTCATCCTCGCCTGGGCAGAACGGTGTGGGGTGAGAAGGGGTGAGGTGGGGGCACTGCGTAAGGCTGAGAGGCGAGGCACTGTGTTCCATACCAGAAGACGGAGAATTTTCCTGTCCTTTGTCCCAACTGACTGACTGACAAAAGGTACTGGAAGCAGGAAGAAAGGACAAGGAAGGACAAAGGGGACCACCACGTGCTGGGGCGCTCCCTCTCATCCAATCACTCATCAGCATCCATTAAGCCCAGGTGCAGTGCTGGGCAGCAGGGTAGGGCACTCCCACCTGCCTTATCACACCCGAGGGGCTCAGAGCCTAGGAAGCGGGGGCGTGGAGGTCAGCAGCGCAGGGCCTCCTGTGCTCACTCATCCCCCCTGGCCATCCGGCCATTCAGCTGCCAATGCCCTGCGATGGGGCAGGCGAGAGTGACCTGGCAAGGGGTGAGGAGAGGAAGTTGAGGTCTGTGGTTGCAGTGGGGGTGGGGAGAGACTGTTGTGGGGTGCATGGGAGAAAGGGGGAAGAAAACCCCTATAGCAATAGAGGAAGAAAAGGGCCAGTCTGATCGGTGTAAACATCAAGAAGGTAGACGCATGATGCTGAGGCAGGGTCAGGCGCCACCTGTGATCCAGCCGGGGTGGGCTTCGCGTTCTCCCACCACCTTGTTTACCAGGGAGTTAATTATAGTCATTCAAGCATCTTTACTATTTCCTCAAGGCGGTTCCTCGATTCTTTCAATATCTGATCGTCATACTCTAGGGCAAGCATGTGGTGTTTGTGTACCAGGCACCCAGAAAATCTGCAGCTTTGATTACTTTTCTGGTGACACAGAAGACAGTGCAACAGTTCCTGCTGCCTACAAAATCAATTGACATCCGATTGGACCCATCACTGGATTTTGACATTATTAGGTTTTCTTACAATGAACCCACAGCTTAAAGGAAAAAGATAAAAATCTCAACTTAGAAATGATCACTGGTTGGGAGAATAACCAGTTTCTGCAGAACTCTGTGGAAGGGTTCAAAGAGCTGTTACGTGGCATGATTAGCAAAGGGGGTCTGTGGATAGTCACATGTTCAGTGTAATGCATAACCTACACATGAATTATCCATTTTGGAGCCTAAATTTAATAAAACTCCCTGAATAATAAAACTACGTGTAACATAATTTAATCCACCTTTGATGATTCGGAGGCACTTGTAGGAACTTACCGAGCTGTGAACCTCATCGCAGGGCATGTCAGTTATCATCGCACCACAGATGTGTGAGAACCCTGCTTATACGAGAGCTCTGATACCAGAATTTACAGACAAGAGACGGCGGCGAGATCCCTGCTTAATAAACTCCCTATCCCTGCCCAGGCCACAAATAACAAACACCTCATTAATTCATCCATCCCAGCCTCTTCATTATGGCCCAGTTGTTAAATACCTCCAAATTCCAGTGAAATAAATAAATGTAAGCATTCCTTTGAAATTCACTGTTATAAAATTTAGATACATAAGCCACTAAAATTCAAAAAGAGCAGAGGGGCTAGTTGTGAAGTCACACAGGTGTTTAACTATCTGAAATTTAATCATTGGTTTTAGTTTAAGATGAGCCTTACCAGATTACATTAGGGACTAGTTATTTGATCTTTGATCTTGAATATTTCAGAATTACTAATGCAAATATTGCCTCTGTGTATTGAATATTTATTATACTAGCTGAAGTTATCATTAGGGATGAAAAGCAAACAGTTTAAGATAGACAGTTCCTTTAAACTCTCATTTCTGCATTGCTTTTACCCTGGTCCCCAAATGCTTCTAGGCTGAAATATTCAAAGCTCAGTTTCAACACAAAGACTAAAAGGCAGGACAATGTTGTGGGAAGCGCAGCATTTCAACATGAGAAGATCTCATTCACGTCCCAATTTACTGGCTGTGTAAACTCAGTTACAGAGCCACAACACATGTGACCTTGAGTAAGTCACGTAACCTGTCTGAACCTGCTCCCTCACCTGCATAAGGGGCATACCAGTATTTCCTCCCATGTGATAATTAAAGGCAGTGCATGTAACGTGGACACAGGTACTTGGGCCCACAGTAGGTGCTTGATAAGCATGAGTATCTTCAATCCTGGCCAACTTGGCTGGCCCATAGGGTGAAGTTCTGGAAGTTCTCACTCACAACCAGGGCTGTGTTCATCTCAGTTACCAGGAAATGAGGACAATATGAATATCTGAAAGATAAATAAGCAAGGATTTCTCCTTCCTTGCTCCAACTTCTTTCCTCGTTTTTTCAGTTTGGAAGGCTGAAGGGAAGAGCTTAATGAAGGCAACATCTGAAAGATGGGATCAAAAAAGAACACTGTGCTTTGCTTCTAGCAAATCAGGAGTGGCTGAAAGATCCCCCATCGTCTAAAAGGCCCACCTTTCCAAGCTGTCCCAAATTTCCCTTGGATCTAACAATTTTCTTCTCAAAGAGTTCCTGCTGCCTACAAAATCAATTGACATCCGATTGGACCCATCACTGGATTTTGACATTATTAGGTTTTCTTACAATGAACCCACAGCTTAAAGGAAAAAGATAAAAATCTCAACTTAGAAATGATCACTGGTTGGGAGAATAACCAGTTTCTGCAGAACTCTGTGGAAGGGTTCAAAGAGCTGTTACGTGGCATGTGTGTGTGTGTGTGTGTGTGTGTGTGTGTGTGTGTGTGTTCATTTGAAAAAATAAGCATAGTGAAGCTGAGAAAATGAGGAACGCACCCTGCAATAGTCTTTGTATAAGAGGCCCAGAAATTTCTTGTGGCTTTTATAATCCTTTGCTGTGGCACTAAGCAAAAGCTTTCAGGAACATTCCAGTCTTGAGGGCAAGTAGGATGTCGCTGCTCTGTTTCCAGTACTAGCTTGATGGTCTTGTGCAAAGCCTCTCTCTAAGCTCTCAAACAATTCCTCCCCTCCTCTTTCTGCCCCGACTCTAGCAAAATTAAGCAAAATTTTCAGATGTATCACTCTAATGTCTGTGGCTTGAATCAAAGATACACATGTTCATGTGAAAAATCTCTATAACGAGAACTACAAACCACTGCTGAGAGAAATTAGAGAGGATACAAGAAGATGGAAAGATATCCCATGTTCTTGGATTGGAAGAATCAACATAGTGAAAATGGCCATAGAATTAATTTGTTTATTTTTTTAGCTCCCACCAATGAGTGAGAACATGTGGTATTTCTTTTTCTCTGCCTGACTCGTTTCACTCAATATTATTCTCTCAAGGTCCATCCATGTTGTTGCAAATGGCAGTATTTCATTCATTTTT